GGATAGTCTGTTCCACTGTTCAGGGTGTCATCGTGGATTTTCACAAAATATTGAAAAAGAAGCACATGAAAGAGGTTGTGAACGACGTCGATATGAGTGCTACCTTTGCAACAGAGATGAAAATAAGAAGAAGTTTGTTACTCTTGCAAAGAATGCACTAGAAACGCATATGAAAATACATACTGGAGCGAAACCGTATAAATGTGATCAATGTAAGAAGCAATTTAATCAAAGTGGATATCTCACTATGCATATTCGAACTCACACTGGAGTAAAACCATATCAATGTGATCAATGTAAGAAACGATTTAGTCGTAAGAGTCATCTCACTGGGCATATTCGAAGTCACACTGGAGAAAAACCATATAAATGTGATCTGTGTAAGAAGCGATTTAGTCAAAAGGGTAGTCTCACTAAGCATATGAGAACTCATACCAGAGAAAAACCATATAAATATGATCAGTGTAAGTAGCGATTTGGTAATAAGAGTGATCTCTCTAGGCATATTAAGACTCATAATTTGTTATAAAGATGGCCTGTTCTGCTGTTCATAGTGTCACTGTGGATTTCAAAGTACTGAAAGCGAAGCATATGGAAAGATCAGTATTAGTCAAAAATAAAAGACTACACTTAAATTTCACATGAGAATACACACTGTGGGAAAATGGCATCAATGTTATCATCGTCAGAAGCGAATAAATTAGTTCTCAATAAAAAATATATTACCAAACATACGGAAAATGTAAGACAGAAGAATCATTATGACTATAATCTTTTCGTTAAAATCATATCGAATAGCGTTATTGATTTTCAATATATACCAATATTTGTATAAAAGTAAAAATGCAATAAAATTGATCCATGTGTAAGTTATCTTGATCTAAGATATCTAGTTTGTTTAGTTTTTTCAGGCATATTCATATATTTTATCTTATCCGCAGTCTTTCAGCTTCCAACCAGAAAAACACACACATAAACTTTGGTTTTACTAGATAGATAGACCCCCGTTCAATTTTTCGTATTTTTGAACATTCACTCTTAATGCTTTTCGCTGCATGTCTTACATCGACCACATTGATAATCTTCGCCTTTTGTAAAAATGTAATATTTTAATCAAACAAGACCTATCTTAATCAAATCTAAATTGTTTGACTAAACTGCGTTAATCTGATGAACTCTGTATATGTTGTTTCAATTTCCAATTTCACAAACTTACCATGTACTGAACAATGCTTTAAGTTTTGAGTATTTTTGTTGACACAATTTAATATTATGAAAATACGAAATAGATATTATTAACTATGGTTGTTCACTGCATTGTTACATTGGTGAGACTGCATATTCATTATAATACACGACGACGACCTAAATGTATCAGAGCATGCATGCATGGCATGTGTGTTAAGTTCCGCAGCAGGCAGGCAGGCAGCAATGCCTGACATGCAGTGTCTTCTTTGTGATGGTTTAATTGAATCAAAATACAAGTGTAGGTAAACTTCATCATCATACAAAGTAATTGCGGTTTTTGGCTCGGAATATATGCAGAAACGGCAATTTTCGTTATTGACATTTGACAACAAAAGGTACGTTACAAATTTCTCCGTTGCGAAATTTCTGCATACACACACACACAATGTAGCGAATTTATGTGGTTTTTGTCGTTGGCAGCATTAAGCTGAACAATTTCGTTTGCAAAATGCACACACTTCAATAATATATTGTTCAGTAAGAGAAAGATGTATGCACAAGTGCCTCGAAGCAGTTTTTGTTTCAATTTTTGATTGATGATGATGCGCACATACACACATACATAAATTCAAATTCTCCGCACAACTCATGTTTGATGGATACGTGTAGTTTTCCGTTGAACGTCTCGCAGCATATTTTGTTGATTAGAATTTTGTGTGTTCGACAGGTATTTCAATTTATCCATGATTAACGCCTCGTTTTTGAAGCTCACTGAAAGACGAAACGAAAACTTTTTCAACTGGTTGCTAATTGATTGGCAGAGTCGATCAATTTACAAAATTGCACAATAACAATGCAATCAAACTGGTTGGTGCTTCGAAAATCAATCGAAACTCTATCATATAACTCTCACTATTCGGCTAAAAACTCCTTAGGTGCTAAGCAGAAGAACAAAAAAAAAAGAACGGCAACAGCAGCAGTTAAGAGAATGAAATACAAAAGTTAGAAAACAAGTTTTTTTTTTCAGCAAGATGATGATGAACGCAATAGATGAGAAACCAAATGAAGCGCATCCAAGTTATCCGACATTCACGACATACACACTTTCGGGCACATTGCATCCCGGTGAATCGGCAACAATTTTGATATGCATGCAACCAGGCATAAACAGATTTTCAATCTATTTCCATTTGAAATCTATGTGAACTGATTCGCTACGATCAACTGAACGTCCTCATTGTCAACAATAATGCCAGAACGCGTAAGCAAGAACATGCACAGAATGGGAGAGAGAGAGAGAGAGTAAAAAAAGAACACACAAAAAGAGCTGACAATTTTCTTGTTTCATATTTTTCGAATGCTTTGAGTTTATTGTTTCGCTTCGAAGCTCACATCCGGCATTCATACAAATGCACACAATTTCGATCGAATCGATTGAATAAAACTTCATCTTTCGAACAACATAGTTCGTCTTAATTTTGTAAGCTTTTTCATCGGTCGATGCATCGTGTGCTGCAAAGAGTGTTGTGAAGAGGAAGAGTGAGGAAAAGAGACATACGGAGTAAGAAAGAGAGAGGAAGGAAGATAGAAAAGAATAAAAGAGAACCTCTCTTTGGTGCTTCTCTTGCGAGTAGAAAAAAACCAAAACAAAGAAGAATCGAGCTAAGAAGAATAGAAGACGAGTGAAGTAGATAAAGAGAACGAGAGACAACATGAGATTCAATGTGTCGGATGTTCATAAGCAAAAGTAATGGAAATCGATGCAAAAATGTCGAATAATATTGTGCAACATTTTGTATACCATCTATGCACCAGTGATTTTCTCCTTTTATATTTTGAACATATATTCATATCGCCATATTCTCATATCCTCTCTACTCCGGATTTTCTTCCATTTATGAATTGTAAAATAGAATCAATTCCAATGTAGAAGACGTTGCTTTTGCAGTGATGGCTTTTGTTTCAATCCAGCCGCATATATGCACATCGAAGAAGGTCAAAAGGGAATTATTCCTTTGTTTTCGTTACATTTTGTGAATTTGGGTCGATACATTTTTATTTATTAACATACACTGTTCGCCATCTAACACAATGAACACACACTCACAGAAAAAGAGAGAGAGAGAGAGAGCCACATTATCCCAACAGATCACTATTCATTTGTGCATATCGGCTGCATATTTTCCCTTTTGACAACTGACAGTTTTAAATTATTTTATATGAGAAAATGTCTTGGTTACTTCTTTCTACACTCTGTATCTGTCTTTAACCGTTCCCTTTCTTCCACTTTCTCTCCAATGTCCTATTCTTATATTCTCGCCCTGTCTCCTTCTGTCTATCTCATTTCTTCTCTTTTGTCGCTTTTCCGTTCTCATTCTTTATTGAACTTGATCAAACTCTATATCAACAAGTTTATATCGAAACATTTATTGTAAGAGACTATTCAAAGCCATACAACTTCCTTTCGATGTAATGAATCAAAAGCTTTTGCAATTTATATGAACCTCAATACGCTTCCCTACTGACAAACATTTTCTGATTATTTAGCTACATTTCGTTCAATCTAGGGGGAAACACAAACGATTAAACCATGATTCCACACTAATCCTACTATTCCACCAATCCGTCATTTCATTGTCAAATATGATGTCACATTTCGCCGCTATTCACTTTGTTGAAAACTTATTTATCGACACTGGAGTATGACATTTTGTTATTGATAATTCAAATTATTTTTTTCATAAATCAAATTTTGAGCAGGTCTAATCTATTGTTTTGTAAATTTGTAATCGACTTTTGAACAAAAATTTTTTTCAAAAAAGAACAAATTACTATCTCACAACAAGTTCAATGCTTTGATCAAATTCTGTACTATCGATTACAAAAACATTGAATCTAACCCATTTTCGCTATTCCATACATGGTATTAGTGAATCCATGTGAATCCAGTTACTGAATTACCTATTCCACTTTAATTTCTCGAATTTTTACAGTAAAAGTCTAATCCTATTTCACGTGTCTACCCCCTAGCGTTCAATAGAGCATTCGATTGGCTTTTATAAAATTCAAAAATTTGAATTCTCCTATAAGTTGTAGCCTACAAGATGGTAATTTAGTTTCAATATGCGAATCATTTTTTACAGTTGCTGGAAAAATCATCCGGAAAATCAGGAAGGACTAAAAGTAGTCAAATCATTGTCCATCCTTCCGTCCGTCTCTCTTTTAAAGTCGTTATTTCGCAAAATTTCCGTCCGTTCCAAATCAAAAATCGGACATACTCCAAAAAGTATGAACATTTTGCATTTGTCCGTTTTATACCTCCTGTGCATGTTACTCTTACAAAGTGTTTTTCTAAATAGCAAGAATCCTCATATGCTAGTCAAAAGAATCACAGCCTTTCCAAATTCCAATCGAATTTTCGGACAATGTTCAGAATTTATCCAGAAAAAACGGCACATTTCACCTGAAACCATATTGAATTTGCCCAAAAAATGGCGTAAAAAATTCTTGAATACTTTGTCAGGAGGGTATGATTATTTTTTCCCTCAATCAGATCTGTTTTGTCAATTCCACTGCAATGGATATTGATGTCATATGATTTATATACAAACTGTGTGACTTGTGCGTAAAAATGCTGCATTTTTTTGCTCTTTGATTATGAAAAATTGATGAACTAAGAACTAAACATTTTAAAAACATGTTGTTCATTCTCGATCACAGAAAAAATGAACTAACATTCAAATCCATTTCGATTGAAATCGTTGTGCAACAAAAAAAAGATGCGCATGCCGCGCGAAATCAAGTTGAAATATTTTTATTTTCGATGTTTCTATGGATGGCCATTAAAATTTGGATTTGTTTCGGGTTTTTCATATACAAATCAAAAGTGCACACACCGGAGAAAAAAAAACAACTACCCCGAAACATATAGCCATCCAAATTGGATTATGTTTCGATGCTTTTTTCTTCTCACCGTGAGTGGTGACTACCATGGCGCCGATTTTGTTAGTCGCATTGTTATTCATTGTGTGTTTGCTTTAAAAAATTAATCACAAATGTGTGTTGGATTATTCTCGTTAAACTAATGGAAACGCCGTGCACCCGAGCTAAAATGGTAACGTATTTTTTTCACAATTGGAATGGACTTGATTCGAATGAATCGAAAACATCGTTGGCTTTACTATCGAAAAAAACAAACAGTGAACTAAAACGAATGGCGAAATTAAAGATTGAACAGAGATACGAAATTTATCGGGTGAAATGAATGAAAATGTTGATTTTTGTGACAGAAAAATTTAAAATGAGACACCAACATCATCCGAACAAACAATTGCAAATGAAGTTTGAAGAAAACTGCAGAAACAACGACATTTTCTAACGTATCAAAATCATGACAAATTCCGTTTTGTTCTTTTTGGTTCGCCCGTTAAATTCATTCAAAATGTATGGCATTTTAGTGTCATGTTGTTCAATCCTAATACCAAATCGATGTATGCGTGTTCATGTTTTTCATCAGGCCAAAATAAATGTACAAAAACGCAAATGACAAGGAAAAGCCCATCAACGGGATGAGCTGAATGAGCTGAGAGCCATGTTTTTAGTGTATATAAAAATGAGGATGAGCATGCAAAACGATGAACGAACGAAAAAAAATGTTTGAAATGAAACGAACGGAATAAATGTAAAATAAATAAAATTGAAAATCCGCTTTCATTAAATGTGTCATTGTGATTTCCTTTTTGTGTTGTGTTGCACTTTGCATTCGCTTTTTTCTGTTTCTATCTCTCGCTCTTCCCTCCCTCTGCTTCTTTCGGTCTATCTATCTCATCGTTCGTTCGTGTGATTTCGATTTTTGTTGAACGCGATGAATTTGGCATGTGAGTGTGTGTTGTGTTCCAGTATATTTATGTAAGTGCTCCACTTGTTTTGAATTGAATGGCTGTTGTTGTTTTTTTATAAGTATTACTTGTTCGCATCCCGGCCTCGTGCACATTCCCCTTTCGCATCTCCTCCCGCTTCGTTAGTTTGTTGTATCGCGTCGCTCTTTGTTTATTGCCGTTGTATAATGGATTTTATGAACAACAGTTTTGCAAACGCTTGTAAAGTAATTGTCTGTACAACACACGAAATCACAGCGTATTCAATGACTAACTACAGTTTTTCAGCATGGCCATCGTGTTGTCGTCATTGCCATTCAGTCGGATGATGCAGATGATGTGCACATGCAATATGCATTTTCAAAACTCACATCTCTAATCTTGTCCGTGCCGCATAAGAGAAACACCACCGCTCACATGCTTTTTTTATCTATGTATCTTTTTATCTCTCTCTCTCTCTCTTGTCGCCGCTCGCTTTTATCTCCTCACTTTGTCGTTTGCTTCATATTCATTCCAATCATTTTGTTGTTTTGTTTGAAATTCAGTTGTCGTTTTTTCGTTCGTTGTGAAATCTAGAACGCTGTGGAATGTTTTTATGGTTTTGTTCCACTTGCTCTATGCATTTGATGTGATTAATGTCTATTCATCGCAGTTGCACTAACAAATCCCGGCGCAAATGAAGGCCACGAATACTAAAATCATTCTCATTCACACTTGCATTCCATTTCTCTCTTCATCTTTTTCTTGGAGTTTTTCTTTCTTCCATCGCTCTTCTCTAGCTTTTTTGTCTCTTTCACTTGCTCGCTTTGTTTCTTTTTCTCTTTTGCTCTGTTTCGGTCTCCATATCTTTCGCTCTCAACGAGTAAACTTTTCCAGTCATAAACCCAAAGTCAACCACTCGATCCAAAAAAAAATCCTTTTATTTCTTGTTCTCGATTTCTTTTAGCACTTCGTTTGCACAATACAATCAAAAGAGCTCGAATTTTTTTTAAATGGATCACAATTCCGTGTTTCGTATAAAAGCGAAAGTGAAGAAGAGATTTTTTTACGAGGGAGTACGATCGTACATTCTCGAGTTATTCGTTAACTTGTTGTTTAAATTTTTATTTATTTTCTTTGTTCATTGATGAGGCCGACATAGCTCATGATAATAATTGTTAAAAACTGGAACAAAATGATCCGTGCTCATTATCAAAGTTGAGAAATGTGATTGGTGTAATATTTCTCATTCCACACCAATAGCTTACCATTTTATGGAAAACAGTGGCCTTCGCTGTTGCTAGCGTTGATGTACACGCACAATTCACCAAAGAAACATATTTTTACATGATTCGGAGCTTTCCGAATGATTTAGAGTAGCTCAATTTATAGAAGCCGATTCCAAAGCAGAGCTTCCACTTTCGTATTAGTTTTGCGTTTTACTCCAAAAAAAATATTTCAATCTCTCTACACACTAAATCTGTGGTATGTAAAAAGAATGTGACCGTTTGGCAAAAAAAGGATTCATTATTCGATACAATGTACACTGTCACAGTGTGGCTGTTATTGTATAATACTCTTTATGAAAATTCACCAAAATATCTGCCTCCATTTCAGGTCGAAAGCCTCATTTGAATTCAAAAAAAAAACGAAACTAGTTGGATTTTGTTCGTTTTGGTTCGAATTGATGTGTGTCAAACGCATTTTTGTATCACTAGCCCCGCCGTTCCCTCAAATCCAACGACATATCAATGCGCATTCAATTTTGCCGAGCATCGAAAAACAACCAAATCATTTTTTTGCTGGATTCTGTTAACAAAAGCAACTGCCAGGTCACTCCAACGCAAACATCAATAAAATAAATAACGACAAAGTGACACGGCAAAAATTGGAGAAAATAAAACCACTGTGAAATGTGGCAATGTGAAAAAAAAAAACCAGGAACAAGTACGATGAATTAGTAGAAAAACTGTGATTGGCGTAGAAATGGGCGATAACTTGATTTGTTTCGAAAACTTTTTGACTTTTCTACTTTTTAACAAATTGGAACGAAATCAGAAATTTTTATTTTTGACGAATTCATTGAGAATAATTCACGGATTTTATTAAATGTGCTAATCTTAGCCTTTTGAGCGGGGGAAAAAAATTCCGAGTATTCGTCATACTTATCAAATGACATGCAAACTAAATTCACATAAATAACATTCTGCCCACTGAAAGTGAGAGGGAGACACAGATAGAGATTAATGCAAACGCGGGCGTAGGCTACAAAAATGTGAATATTTTAGTTGTTTACTATTATGAATAACAATTCCAAACAAAACATACACGCACAATGCACATTCATTTCTATAAATGGGAAATTGGGAATCGATCAATGGCATAAAAAATGGTAAGAGATATGGAAAATTGAATGCAAATTTTATGCAAGCAGAGAAGGAAAAGGGAGCAAAGAGAGAGAGAATTACATATTTTTGTATGAATATTCCGGATTGTTGGTTGAGAGAGGATTTCGCTAAAGGTTGATTCATCAATTTCTCATCAGTCCGTTGTCAGAATTCGAAATGAGCAAAATCTTGTGTGCAAATCAATTGAAAAATGTTGAGGCCACAAGTGATTCAAACAATGTGAAAAGTGCGATTTTTCTTAGAAACTCAACGGCGTCGAAATTCTCTCCTCCACCCAATGAAGAATGTCGGTTGAATGACGTTGATAGATTCAATATTAATTTTGTTTGCCTCCATCGCATTGTGCTTGTATTTGACCGGAACGCAACTGCGTTCGGCGCAACTTATGAAAGCGTCAAACGTAATCAGAACAGCATTGTATTCGAGGTTCATCCAGCAGGAATCGGAACATTCCGACTAATTATTCGCGTTTATTGTTATTGTTATTTGTTTAATTCCGGCAATTCCTTTTTTTTAATTTAATGAATGGTTGAGATTTGTCGGTTGAAATGAAGCCATCGAAGTATTTTCGATGGTCATTATCGTTATCAACATCCACGCTACAAACACATTCAGGCAGTAACATACAAGATAAAACCAACCGTAATTTGGTAACGATTACGATTTGGGCCAGACAATATTTGCGCCACCCATTCTCATTATACTTAAATTTTAGTTTTGTTTGTCTTGAAATAGTCGGAAAGTTTTGCCATTTGGTACGGCACACGCGGATATTTACGATTATTGGTTAATCGCTTGCAACCGATATTTTCTACTTGATTTTTTCCGACAACCATCCTCCAGGGAAATAAAATTTTATGCGTTCGCTTCATTTTGAAATTTAATTTCATTATAAGCCAGAAACGGTCACTATTTAAAATGACACTATTTTGGTAAGATATCGAGGTGTAAAAAAATACGAGATAGTAAGGAAATAAAACAAAGAAGTATTCACATTTAAGTATTTTGATTTATTCATTGTAGTCATCTTTAACATGGAAAACACACAAATTAATGTATTATTCCTAGAAATTGATGAAAATAATAAATGTTTGTTTAATTTGACAATTCGGCTGTTTCAAATTTATTGCATTTCTTCTACGGATTGATTTGACTTCTTTACATAGATGAACGATCACTTCTTCATACCGTGAATATTTTTCATATGTTGATTGGCAGTACCAAGCAGTGGAAAACGAGCATTGCACAATTTGCATGGAAACGGTTTTTCTCCTGTGTGATGGTTACGCATGTGGAGTGTTAAATGCGTTGTATATTGCATGATCTTTTTACAAAGGTAGCATTGATAGCAACGACGTTTGCAGTGTTCTTGATGTTGATCCTTATCGTCTTCTTTTGCAAATGGTCGATGACATTGTTTGCAACGGTATGGGCGAGGTTTGCACTTATGCCTATTAAGATTACCTTTGTGAATGAATTTCTTTCCACAAGTAGCACATTGAAATGGTTTATCACCAGTGTGCTTCAATCGCATGTGATACTTCAAATTACCATGGTGGAAGGATTTGTAGGTTTTGTATTCACAGAGATAGCATTCGTATCGTCGTGGGTTACATCCATCCTCATGAGATTGTTTTTCAGTTTCTTCAGCGAACCTATGTCCACATTTCAAACATCGAAATGGAAATTTTGGACCATGGATTTCCTTATGGCTTTTTAAATTGCTCTTTTGAGTAAAAGCCTTGGCACATACTTCGCATTCAAAGGGCTTTTCGCCCGTATGCCTTCGAATGTGTGTTGTGAGATTTGATTTTTGATTTGTCACATAATCACAGAAATGAAATTTGTGCTTTTTCTGTCCAATGGTGGCTCGACCATTCGATGGTTTCTTGGAACCCTTTGATTTTCCGCCTTTTGGCTTCTTTCCTTTTGCATGCTGTTCACGATTGTTGCTTGAGTTTGGTCTTTCATCGCATAAATCATCGCCAATTGGATCATCATTTCCACCTTCGTTTGTGCTTGCCTTCGGTGCTTCATCATGCTTTTTCTTCAAACATTCCCCTTCCTCCGATTTGATCTCGTCCTTCACACAGTCAGCATCGTATGGCACATACTCGCCATCACTTTCGCTTTCCGATTTTATCGTAGCGCCGGCTTTGACTGGTGATTGTGGTGACAACGGTGGGTATGCAATCAGATCAACACCATCTCCTGGCTCCACTTTTACATCAACTTCTTCTTTGATTTTGACTTGTGAGTGTCTTCCTTTGCGTTGGTATTTGCGCTTAGCTCTTCCACCTAAAGCACCTTTTGTTTGATACGGATTCATCGTGGCCCTATTTGTTAGAGAGAAAATCAATTGATATAAATGTGGGGTTAGTTTTCATTTGGGCAATTGCTCTTGTGTTTTCTAATAAAGATTATAAATAATTTATTGTTAGTTAGCAAGATCCTTTGTACAATGAACTTGGACAAATATTGTTCCGAAAATCAGTGTTTCTCATGATTAACGAAATCTACATCAATTTATCAATAGATTTGCTCATTTATGCAGTGTAACAAAAGATCACAATCATTAATCCTAAAGAAAGCAACCTTGTGTTAGAAAAGGCGTAATGAATTTCCCAGAAAATCGAGAATGAATCAAATTAATGAACAACAAAAATTTGAATTGAGATCCGAAATGCAATCAAAATTTTTCACGAAAGATTGACGAATTTTCCTTGCTGATATTTGACTTAATTGATCTAACACAAGCGAACGACTTAATTGAAATTATATGGATTTATTTCTTTGTAACCAAAAACTGAGGTTAGAATTTATGAAGTTGAAATTATTTTCGGCTTTTAATTATTCACAATATAAGTACACTTCAAAAGTCAGCTTGATATCCAACAAAAATGAAATAAAAATCTATAAATAAGACATGCTTTACTCGATATTTACCCTTCCGATCACTTGAATTCAAGAACAATTGAATTAAACGATTAGAAACGATCTAACACGTGATTCCTTAAATCAATTGCTTCTTCTATGCTCTTACGATGACAGCTATAACTCGACTGACATGTATGGTTTTGTGCTGACTAGCGCTTTCCTTGTTCGGCCTTTTTTTGACATTTACCATCAGCATGAAGTTATCGTAAAGCTACTTCATATTCGATTGAATTTATTTAATATTGAGACTTGAAAAAGTAAATTTTCAGTCCGGTGTGCGATAAATTTTAGCTATTTTCATTCCATTTGTTCCAGTTTCTTGTGCATATTTGAATCGATTTAGATCATTTTATTCATTTTGGAAACGTTTAAAAAACAAAAAAATAAGAAATATTGAAGTCTCAAAAAGAACTATTGCTTTAGATTGAAATCATAGAACTTACTTCATTTTTCTGTTAATTTGTCAATATTAATCGATTACCTTGTGAGTGACATTCTCCTTTGGAAATATATGAAATGTATTTGAAATGAAACATTCAAGTTTTTAGGAAAAATATCTTTATTTTGTTCAAGTTAATTGAAGTTGTTAATTTCATTTAACCTTTTTAATTCTCCATTCCCTGATTAATCAAATTAATATTCGTAATTCATTGAATATTCTGTTTGATTTCTTCAAAAAATCAAGATCAGAAGATACATTTTAATAATTAGAAATCGTTGAACTTGTTTCATGGATTGATTTGACTTGTTTTTATATAGATCACTTCTTCATACCGTGAATATTCTTCATATGTTTATTGGCATCACCAAGCAGTGGAAAACGAGCATTGCACAATTTGCATGGAAACGGTTTTTCTCCTGTGTGATGGTTACGCATGTGGAGTGTTAAATGCGTTGTATATTGCATGATATTTTTACAAAGGTAGCATTGATAGCAACGACGTTTGCATTGCACTTGATGTTGATCCTTATCGTCTTCTATTGCAAATGGTCGATGACATTTTGTGCAACGGTATGGGCGTGGTTTGCACTTATGCCTATTGAGATTACCTTTGTGAATGAATTTCTTTCCACAATTAGCACATTGAAATGGTTTATCATCAGTGTGCTTCAATCGCATGTGATACTTTAAATGACCACTGTTGAAGGATTTATATTCACAGAGATAGCATTCGTATCGTCGATAGTTACATCCATCCTCATGAGATTGTTTTTCAACTTCTTCTTCGTATCGATGACCACATTTCAAACAACGAAATGGAAGTTTTGGACCGTGAATTTTCTTATGGCGATTCAAATCATTTTTCTGTGCAAAAGCCTTGGCACATACTTCGCATTCGAAGGATTTTTCGCCCGTATGCGTTCGAATGTGTCTTGTGAGATTTGGTTTGTGATTTGTCACATAATCACAGAAATGACATTTGTGCTTTTTCTGTCCAATGGTGGCTCGACCATTCGATGGTTTCTTGGAACCCTTTGATTTTCCGCATTTTGGCTTCTTTCCTTTTGCATGCTGTTCACGATTGTTGCTTGAATTTGGTCTTTCATCGCATAAATCATCGCGAATCGGATTATAATTTACACCTTCGTTTGTGCTTTCCTTCGGTGCTTCATCATGCTTTTTCTTCAAACATTCCTCTTCCTCCGATTTGATCTCGTATTTAACATAGTCAGCATCGTATGGCACATACTCGCTATCACTTTCGCTTTCCGATTTAATAGTAGCGCCGGCTTCAACTGGTGATAATGGTGACAACGGTGGGTATGCAATCAGATCAACACCATCTCCTGGCTCCACTTTAACATCAACTTCTTCTTTGATTTTGACTTGTGAGTGTCTTCCTTTGCGTTGGTATTTGTGCTCAGCTCTTCCACCTAAAGCATCTTTTGTTTGATACGGATTCATCGTGGTCCTATTTGATAGAGACAAGATCAATTGATATAAATGTGAGGTTAGTTTTGGTTTGGTCAATTGTGATTGTTTTTGTGTTTTCTTATAATTTTTTTGTGATTGACAATGTTCATTGAACATTCCAATACTAGCTCCAATATCGTTAATTCGTTAAATATAAACTCAATTAGTTATAATATTCTATAATTTATTCAGTACAACAAAAGATCACAACAGAGAATGTCAAAGAGGGCCACCACGTAAATCATCAAAAGCCCAAAGAAATTTCCCAGAAATCATTAACGAATCAGAAAATGAACATAAACAGAAACGAAATAAAAATACTACACAAATATCTGTGAATCGATTTGCTTGATATTATTCTAATTTTATGCAATCACAAGCCATCGGGAGGCAACACAAAGCGGTAAAAAAGCAAACCATAACCATTTTGTAATAAACTAATGAGGTTAGTGTTTCAAATGGCCTAAACCTTCTAACTTTTTTCAAATTTTTCCAATGGTCGAAACTCCAAATGGACCAAGTCAAAAATATATTTTTCGATATTTAGTAAATATTATTTACCCTTCCGTTTACTAATGCCTCAGTGACGACTGAAATCGTTTTAACACATGCTTTTCCTTTGAATGACCAATTTTTGTTCACGATCTACTTTCGTTGACAGCTCCAACACGACTGATATAAGTGGCTTTGTGCATCGTACTGCTCTCGTTGTTCTGCCTGACTTTTGACATAAGCATGAAGTTTACTACTTTTAAATTGATTCTGATTCATTTAAATTTTCATTTGTATTTAGTAATTCATTCAAGAATTCATTGTTTTGAATATATTTCTTCGTGTAAATTTATTGTTTACACTTTGGATAAGATTTTCTAGTCAAAATGTAATGGTGACTGGAAAAATGTTATCTTTTCTCGGTCAGACGAATGATCATTACACTATTTTATGTTGAAAATAGTCATTTTTCATGTCTTTGGCACATGTTTTCAATGTTAAGTGTGTGAACTGCAAATGAGTAAACATATTTTTTAAACGACAACATTTTGGTACCCATAAGACGATCTAGAGTATTTGCATATTTTGTTCCACTAAACAGTGCGCCCCCAATCACACGAAAACATTTCAATTGAATAAGAAAATAATCGAGATTTCAAGTAAACAAATAAAAAAATGTGCAATAAATTCATTAGAGGCTAAAAGTAGTATAAATTTTTTTGTTTTTTACAAATGTTATTTAATCTAACAAATGAACAATGATTTCAATAAGGGAAACTGCAAATGTTATTCACAAAAGGGCCAATAACACATTTAGTTGGTGTGTCACATTGAAGATGATTTGATCTGATGAAGAGAAGTTTATACACATTTCGGTCGAAAACACTGCATAATATAATACGATGGACATTAGAAAAACTTTAGCTAAAAACACCAAACAACCCCACCCCCCAAAATGTGTTAATTATATTGAATAAATTCCTATTTTTCACATCTTAGTTATAGTCAAAGCGATAAATATTTGCCCAATAATCAAAACTGCTGTCTCATCATGAACAAGTGAAAAAAATGTGCAAATTCTTTCTATTTAAGGTTGTATGATTGAAATTGACAAAAACAATTGTGTATTATAAATTCTGTTCGATGAAAACACAATGCCAAGTAACATTGGTAGTAATTCTTGATGTAATATTTCTATAAGTACTAAAGACTAAGAAGAAAAGTTGTATACACTAATGATACCTAGAACTTAAAATTAATCTGCAAAACTACTAAAACAATAAGTTGTACTAAAATTTGTTTGATGAGTTTGATCGGAATCAAGCAATCACACAACCCAAAAACGATTTCGAAGCTTGATGAACGATTTCGAAGCAATAAAATTGTTCAAAGTTTGAGCTTCAAACTGTTCTTCGCACCTCTTTTAAAAATGTATATTAATCTGAAGTCGTATGATGTTAATCATCAGTTAGTTGTGAAAACCCGTGAAAACAAGATGAATCGAAAATTTCTCGGTTTATTTTTCTTTGCACTTATAGGTTTGGAGGTAATTTTTATCCGTCGATTTTAATTTAGACTTTTTTCACTTTCGTCTTGTTCCAGAGCTCCTAGTTCCATGCGCAAAATGTGCTGGCACTTGCAGTAAGTATTCTTGGAAATTCAATCTAAAACAAAGTCATAAGTTATATACTGACAATGGACGTTTTTTAAATGTCTTCTTGTGTAAGTAAAGTAAAGATAAAAAAAATAGGCAAAGCTGCGGGCAAGGGTACTATGCAAACTGCCAAGGGAATTGGTAAATCAACTCTCAAATTAGGAGACAGTGTGCTAGGAACGGCTGCACAAGGGGTTGTAACAACCATGAATGGTCTTGGAGCTGGTCTAGAGGAAGGACTTTGTCCTTTATCGTGTTTGTGCTGCGTGCCTGGGAAAGGCGTTGAAATGGTTAAAGATATGGTAAGGCGATGTGGTAAATACGAGCTGCTATCTTAGGTAAAAAGGTAGGAACTAGCCCTTATACTTGTGGTAAAAATACAATGCAAGAAATTGCAAATATGGAAGCATTACAGGATGCATTGGCAGAAATAGAAGAAGAAAAACAGAGAAAATTGAAGGAACTACCAGGACCAAGCAATTAATCACATTCACTTCTGGAACCAATGGAATTAGAATTCCATGTTCTTATGCTTTGCATTACTTGAATACAGAAAATAACGAATTTTGTGTTTGTTAAATAAAAAATGTAATGAAAATACCAACTAGAAACAAATCTTTTTTTAAATTACGTATGCAACAATCGAGAAAAAGCAACTCTTTCTGAAGCTTAATAATCTGCGTTTGTATTAATTTACAAGCTCTTTTGTTCGTCAAATGTCTTTCCAACGGTCATATATGACGCCAAAAAATACGGCAATTTCTAATAAAACGTCCCATCAACAAACTTCATAACAAGCGTTCAATTTTTCACGACATAACTGCATCAATCAGTGCCTTAATAGAAACAACGATTTGTTGTTAAACGCAATCATTTGATAAGCCAACTCAAACTTCTTTCAAAATCAACGTTTTGTTGTACAATTTAATGGGATATCGTTTACCATAAACAGGAAAATCTGTTTTATCCGTTTCATTGGTATTTTTTTCGCACCCAAAGACCAGCTCAACATAAATGCAATTGAAGTGGCCGACAAAAAAATACCGACAAAAAGT